AAGGAAGGAAAGAAGGAAAAGTAGGTGACTTTTTAAAGGAGGGGCTAGTGTGTGTGTGTGTGTGTGTGTGTGTGTGTGTGTGCGTGTGTAATATCCTTAAGATTTAAACATCGTCCACCTTTATCCTTTTTGCCTGGTGTAGTGGTGCACACTTTGATCCCACCACTTGGGAGACAGAGGCAGGCAGATGTATGAGTTTAAGGCCAGCCTGGTCTAGGGAGCAAGTTCCAGTACAGCCAAAGCTATGTAGAGACCCTGTCTCAAAAAACCAAGTCAAACCAAAACAAACAAGAACATATTTTGCTATTTTTACTTAGCTGTGTATATGTCTGCCTATATAAGCACATGTATACAGGTACCTGAGGAGGCCAGGAGAGGGAGCTGGAGCTGGAGGCAGCTGGAGTTGCAGCCCTCAAAGAGGGTTTTGGATCTGTACTCAGTCTTCTGCAGGAGTAGCAGCCACTCTGAGCCTCTCTCTCTACCCCTTCCACTTTTTATCTTTGGAGACAAAGTCACTAGGTGTGAAGCTAACTGACTCTTCTATGATGGTTGACAAACTCCAGGGTTCCTTCTGTCTCTGCCTACCCTTCCCACACTAAGGTTTCAGTGTATCACTCCTACCTTTCTTCATGGGTGTTAGGGATCCAAATTCAGGTCATCATGCTTGGAAGGTATTTTCCCAACTGAGCCATCTCTTCAGCCCCTATTTATTTATCTATTTAGTTATATCATTTTTGTTTGTTTCTTCAAGACAGGGTTTCTCTGAGTAGCCCTGGGTAGATCAGACTGTCCTTGAACTCAGAGATGCTCCTACTTCTGCCTCCTAAGTGCTGGGATTAAAGGCCACCGACAGGCTGGATCTTTTATATATATATATGAGTGTTTTGCTTGCATGCATGTGCACTGCATGTACGCCTGGTGTCTGCAGAAGAGGGCATTGGATGTCCTGGAACTGGACTCGTGGATGGTTGTGAGTCACCATGTAGGTGCTGGAAACCAAACCTGGATACTCTGCAATAGCAGAAAGTGCTCATAACCACAGAGCCATCTCTACAGCCCTTACTCATGTGGGCCAAGCTAGCTTCAAACTCAGCAAGGAATGACCTTGAACTTTTGAAAGCTACCACACCTGGTTTCACTTGTTGCTCAAGATCAAATCTAAGGTTTCTTGCATGCTGGACAAGCACTCTACCAGCTCAGTTACATCCCCAGCTTTGTTATTACAGCTTGTGTGTTGAGACCACTTTGATTTACAGCCCAGATTGTCCTCAAAATCACTCCTGCCTCTACTTCCCCAGTTCTGGAATTACGGTGTGTGCCACCATACTCAGCCAAAGCTCCTTTTTGCCTTCTTGTGGATTTTTGTTTTTTAATTAGGATTTCAAGCAGCCCAAGCTGACTTCAAACTCTCTGTAGCTGAGGTTGACTTTGAACTCCTAATTCTCCTGCCTCCACCTGAGTGCCAAGATTCCTGGTATACACTACCATACCAGGTCCCGGTCCTCTTGACGCATTTCTTTTTATCTTTTTGAACCCCATTTTTTCCCGATAGTCTCTGGGGGCCTCCAGAGCCTGGCCCATATATCACCCCATGGCCTCACTATGGAACACAGAAGGGCTGCTTGAGCATTGTAAGCAGAGCCACACGGGGCTCCCATACTCCTTGCTCTCTCTCAGCTTACAGAGTGGAGCAAATGTCTATCACATGGGCTTCTGTGAAACATAAAGCTCTGCAAATTGGAGAAAGTCTTTAGTTCCGCTCCAAGAAATGGCTGAATTGTGCAGAGATGAGATCGGATGCCCCATCACAGTGCTCAGCATCCTCTGCTGGTGAAGGCATCATTTCTCCTGCTCTCTGACTTGAGCATCTGAACCGGAGCTGTGTTTTACTGATCTGGTTGCCAGCAGATGCGCAGTAAATGTTTAACACATGCAGCTGGCGCCTCCTTCTCCAGTCTCTCTCCCACTGGCAGGCTCACCTGGACCTGCTCCAGGACACAGCCTTGATGCCTTCCCACACAAATGCCACCCCACAGACTCCTCACCTGCAGGTGTCTGGGTTGAGCTCTAAGCCCCGCCCTTGGCAACGGAGGAGGCTGCGGCGTCGGCAGCGGCAGCGGCAGGTCCGGGGGTCAGGGCGCTGACGGCGCTGGGTACAACGTGGGCAGAGGGTCCTGGGGCTGGAGTGGGATGGATGATGTCAGCTGGGGAGGGTGCTCCCGGGGCAGAGTCCCAGCCCGGAACAGAGCGGGGCTGGGGACGGTGGTGGGGTATGGCAGCCCTAGGAGGAGAAGCGACATGTCTGGGGTGGAAAGAGTCTTCCCAGGAGCTAGGGCTGGGACAGAATGCAGTGATTTGGGGAGCATAAAACGGAAGGGGTGTCAGGTGAGAGGAGAAAGCAAAGAGGGGCTGCAGCCTCCTGGTTCACTTGTGCACCTCCTAGCCTACCCGTGTGCTCTCTCCTGGACCAGCAGCAAGCCTCAGGAACTCACCTATCTGGCTTCACAGCACTCTTTTTTTTTGGTCTGAAAAATGAGAGAGGGGGAGAGATAGAGGAGGGGAGGAGATAAGAGAGGGTAAGGAAACCCAAGCCTCCTGCTCTCTTGCCCCAGGATCCATGCCTACTTCTGATCTACTCTCAGTCACCTAGTCCCTACTACAGTGCAATCCCATGCCTGATACCCCCACCCCAGGCTACACTTGTGAACTTGGAAGTTAGACCTGGCTGGCACCTGCATTCACATTGGCTGTGTTCTTCCAGGGACATCTCCCCCAGCTGACTGCTCGGGTACTGGATCATGAGGATCTGTACTCAGGAGAATGAGGAAGAGACAGTGAGTGGTGGGGGGCAGTAGAAAGGCAGAGAAAGGGGATACTCATGGGCTAGAGGAAGAATGGCCAGAACTTCCCACCTCCTGTGTGCCTGTCTCTGGGCAGACCCAGCCCCCAGAGCACCACTGTCCCATCAACATGCGTGACCCATAGACCCCAATACCTGCATTCGGACTTGGTGTTGCCCAATGGGCACACATTCCAGGCCGTCGTCAGGGCAGCAGCCACCACAGCGCTGCACAGTCACGCAGCTGGGCACTAGTTGTTTGACCACATTGCCCATGAGCTCCATACTCAGAGGCACCACCACCTCCCTGGGCTGGCATGTGGCACGTGCATAAACATCTATCCACGACACCACTGTGGGCAAACCCAGAGGGATTAAGTTCTTACTGCGTTTCCTGAAGCTGCTTCCAACATGTAGCCTCCCCAGTACCTTGTCACCGCCCCAACCCTTCCTTTAAACCTGTCTTCCTTTGCCTTCTTTCTCAAGAAATCATTAAGCTCTCTGCCTCAGTTTCCTCATTTGGGAGAAAGGGCATCTCCCAAAGGGTAGGGGATCACACAAGATGAGGGACATAAACTCAGGGCATGTGCCAACCCCTCTTAGTACTGGCTGGAATCAAGTTATTGTTAACTATTATTACCTTTCTTCTGGTGGCTGGGGCCATCAAACTGGGACACAGGAGCCTGTGGGAAAGAAGATACCTGGGCCCAAGGTGCACTCTATAAGGGCTGGCCCTGTGACTGTATGAGTGCTTTGGCCCTGAGTCAGGCTTCTTGCTCCTTTCTGACATCCTTCCAGGTTGTTCTGTTCCCAGGACCTCAGCTCTAATTTTCCTTGTCCACTTAGCCATCTGGGACTTCTCCCTGGCCCAAGACCCACCAAACGTACTATGGGAGTGGCACTAAACCTCAAGTCTAGGAGCTGGGCTTGGTTTTAGGTCAGGAGCAGGGACAGTGGGAGAGGCAAAGAGGTTCAGAGGGCACTGAAGCAGCTCCGCCCCCCTCCCCAGGAGTCCAGGGGCTAAGGTGGGGCGGGGGAGTGGCAAGGGGGCTGGAGCTAGGGCTAGCAGGCCTGCGCCGAGGGGCACCCAGGGTTATCCGTAGTTGGACCAGTGGATCCCCTCCGCAGAGGTACCCGGCGCCTCCCTACTTCCGCCAACCTTGAGAGGGCACCGCGGGCGGGCGAGCTGGATGTCGCGGACACACATACCTGGGTGAGGGCCAGCTGCAGCAGTGCAGCGAGCAGCAGGCTGCGGAGCAGGGGGCTCATGGTGCCCGCGGGGGCCGCCCGCCGGGGAGCCCCACATAGCCCTAGCCCGGCGGCACAGGGGGCGGCGGCAGCCAGAGCCCCATGGCGCGGGCCCGGGCGCGGGGACCCGGGGCCCGGCGCGGGGGGCGGCTCCTCCGCGGCCCCCTCCCGAGCCCTGGGCGCAGGCAGCGCAGCGCAGCGCCGCGGCGGCGGCTGGAGGAGCGGAAAGGGCAGGCGGCCGGTGGCGGTGGCGGGGACGGCGGGCGGCGGGGACGACGGGGGTGGCAGGGGGCCTGGCCGGGGCTGGCGGGCTGGAGGCTCATGTGACCTAAACACGCGCTCCCCACCAGGCTGCGGGAGGAGGCGGGGCGGGGGCGGAGCTGGTCCCCTCCAACGCCCCCTCCGGACGCTGCAGGGGAAAGGGGACGCACCGCCCAGGAGGCCAGGCTCCGGGGTCGCTGCACCAAGAGGTGAAGGGTGAGATGTGTGACCTGAAGAACCGAGCCGGACAAGAGTCTGAAAATGAGTTTATTGCACGTGCTGTGGGAAATCTGTAGTCCTGGATAGGCAGCAAGGAGAGGACCAATGCAGGTCCCACCTAAGTGAGCCCCTCAAGGGCTACTGTCCTGGGGCACGATCCCAGGGCCTTCTGTGGGCAGGGAGGATCCTTTCCGACGCTGCTGCCTCTGCTGGCGCTCCTGCTGAATCCTGGCTCTGTTGGCCCTGGAGAAAAGATAGATCTGGACAGGGATCCTGAAGGGTACTTCTGGGGCAGGGAGCCAGGCAAGATGGTGCAGTGACAGACCTGGCCCTCGCCCTCGTGTCGTTGTAGATGGCTGTGATAATCCGATCCTTCTCATCCATGAAGCTCCGGTGCACCTGCTCCAGCTTCCTGTGAGGGGATTGCAATTAACTCTGGTTCTCCAGACTCTGCTGTCCTTGAAGCCCTGGTCCTCAACCAGGCTCTAGCATCTACCACACAACTTTACATCTCTCCTAACAAGCAGTTTTGTGATAAACTGAAAAAAGAGGTTGGGCGGTGATGGTGCACACCTTTAATCCCAGCTCTGGGGAAGCAGAGGCAGGCGGATCTCTGTGAGTTCAAGACCAGCCTGGTCTACAAGAGCTAGTTCCAGGACAGGCTCCAAAAAGCACAGAGAAACCCTGTCTCAAAAAAAAAAAAAAAAAAAAGATCTCCTGGCAGTTGTGGGTTATCATATGTGGGTGCTGGGGATTGAACTCTGTGAACTCTGTTCCTCTGTAAGAGCAGCAAGCAATCTTAATCACTGAACCATTTCTCCAGCCCCAGCTTCTTATCCTCCTGCCTCCATCTCCTGAGTGCTGGGATTACAGGCATACACCACCACCATGCCCGTTTTACCATGCGGCCGGAGGAAGAGAACCCCAGAGGTTTGTCTATGCCCTCCTTGTGCATGGTTTTGGATGGCTCTAGGCTCTCTAACAACCAGCACCAAAGATTAACATTCAAGCTATGAGAAAGAGAAAACAGCTTTAGCCATTTCATGCAGCGCTGCCTTTACCCAGCAAGGCAAGGCTCCAAAGACTGATTTCACAAAGTTCTTAGCTTTAGAGAGACAAAGAATGCGGGTCATAGGCTGCTATAGCTGGCTGGCCACAGCACTCTTCATCCACCCTCTGCCCAGGACCCAAGGAAGGATGGAGAGGCACCTGAAAGCCATATAGTGCAGGCCCATGCCTGCCACCATGAGCAGAAGGCAGTACCCCAGGACCCGCTGGTTGTGTTTGTTCTGCTGCCGCCTTGACTCAGGCCCCTGTGGCCTCACATTGTGAAACTGGGCCCAGTATTGTGCGTTCGGGGGTTCCCAGGAGCTGCTGAGAGAGCAAAAGGGCAATGGAAAGATGAAGCTCCCTGGAAGGCTTCAGAGTGGGACAGCAGAGTCGGGAGACAGTACCTGTGTGTCTCCTGGGTGTACTTAGGCTGGGCTCTGGTCCCTGAAGATTTGGGCGGCCTGGTTGAATGCAGCTGTTGGTCATAGTTTCGACGACTGTCCTCACGGCTGAGTACTCGGTAGGCCTCATTCAGCTCCACAAAGCGGCTATGCAGGGCTGGGTTCCCAGGGTCTCGGTCAGGGTGCAGCTAGGGTGAGACTTATCTCATTTTCCACGTCCTTCCCAGGACCTATCCTGATGATGTCCACTCAAAAAGACTGGCATCACTCCCACAGTCCTTGCCTGTGGGCCACTGCCTCTCACTCACCGGCTTGCTGACCCCCCCAAGGGCCAGAGAGTGAGAAAGTACAGACTCCTACCCCTCTCACCCAAGAAGACCAACCAGACATTCCAACTCACATCTGTAGCTCCAGTTCTAGGAGAGTGGAGATGGGAGGACCATTGAAAGTTTGAGACCAGTTTGGGCTACAGTGTGAGATCCTATCTCAAAAACAAAGAAAATCACACTGGAAGGACCCCTGGCCTTGCCGCATCCTTTCCTCAGAGAGGATATTGAGTGCCCCCTCTCCACACAGGTGGTAGGAATGTGCTGCCAGCTAGAGGGACAGACCTAACCCAAGAAGGTAGAGTGCTCCTGTGCCTGGCTCAGATCTCATCGTCCTCCCTCCACACCTCGGGGACACCAATACCTCTTTTGACTTGGTGAAGAAAGCACGTTTAACCTCTTCAGCGCTGGCACCAGGATGCACCCCCAACAGTTCATAGTAATTAGTAGAAGTAGACCTGTGAAGAGAAGCCCAAACCTGCAGAGGCTTAGGAGACCAAAGGGCACCACTGCCCTGTCCTGCCACCCTCCCTGGGCCACACCCTTCAGTTCAACCACCAGGAACTGAAGTTAGTCCCAAGACACTTTTGACTCCAGATTACCCTTCCCTTTGGGCTTTTCAGGAATAGTCAGGACTCCTCAAAGTGTAGTCCTTAGTCTCCTACAGACCCAAAGGGGTTCTGCTGTCTTTTTGTTTATTTGTTTTGTTTTAAACAGGGTCTCATTAGCTTTGTCTGACCTGGAACTCCCTAGGTAGACCAGACTGGCCTTAAACTGAGTTTGCCTTTGTCTTCCAAGTTCTGGGACTGAAGATGTGCACTGCCATCCTGCCACCATTCTGGCTAAATTGCGTCTTTAAAGATTTATTGTTTTAGCTGGGCAGTGGTTGCACATGCCTGCACTCAGGAGGCAGAAGCAGTAGGGTCTCTGTGAATTCAAGGCCAGTCTGGTCTACAAGAGCTAGTTTTCAGGACAGGCTCCAAAGTAAGTACAGAGAAACCCTGTCTTGAAAAGATTTGTTATTTTATTTTATGTACATGAGTGTTTATAGGTATGTGCACCACGTGAATGCCTGGTGCCTCCAACAGGTCAGAAGAGTGTGGTTGTGAATCGTCGTGTTGATGCTGGGAATCAAAACCAGGTCCTTGCACAAGAGAGATGGCTCAGAGGTTAAGAGCACTGGCTACTCATGCAGAGGTCCTGAGTTCAATTCCCAGCAATCACATGGTGGCTTGCAACCATCTATAATGAGATCTGGTGCCCTCTTCTGGCCTGCAGGTGTACATGCAGAACACTGTGTACATAATAAATAAATCTAAAACAAAACAAAACTGGGTCTTCTGTTGAGAGTGGCAATTGTTTTTTGTTGTTGTTAGTTTGGTTTCTTTTCGAGACAGGGTTTCTCTCTAGCTTTAGATCCAGTCCTGGAGCTCACTCTGTAGACCAGGCTGGCCTCACACTCACAGAGATCCGCCTGTCTCTGTCTCCCCAGTGCTGGGATTAAAGGTGGGCAGCACCACCGCCCAATTTGGCAAGTGCTTTAATCTCTGAGTCATCTCTCCAGCCCCTAAAAACTTACTTAAACCAGTAGGTTTTGTGATATGAGGTGGTGTCCACTTGTAATTCCAGCATTTGGGAGGTGGAGGCAAAGTCAGAAATTCAAGGTCATTCCTTGGCTACTAGTAAATTTGTGGCTAGCCTAGTCTACGTCAGACCTTCTATCAGTTAAGTAAATAAAGATTTCCTGGCCTCTTATGCATGAGGTTCTGTGTTCCAGTGCCAGTATGGGTGGCGGTTTGATTTCCAAGTCAGGTATGGTGGCTGTGCCTGAACTCTGAGACTGAATTTGGAGCCTTGCCTGGGAAACTTAGGAAAACTCCATCTCAAAGGAAAAGGCAGACTCGCACCCCCACTTCATTCCTCCTGACCAGCCCAGAAATCTAAATCTTTGTACCCCACCTCCTCTTTCCCGGTGTACGCACAGTGAAGCCTGACAACGTATCAGCGCTATGAAAAGAGTACTGGGTTTGACCTGAGCTCAAATTTCCCATCTGCCACTTATCTCCATACTGGGGCTCTACTCTTAACTCTTGACGCTGCGTCCAGCACTGAAGGTGAGGGTCATCTGTGACAAACCTCTAAAGGCACTTGACATATAATGCAGAGACAGCTATCTCAGAACGCAGGGTTCTCCACAGAAAACCACTGAGCAACATGGTCAAGATCTGGAGCTCAACTCACCGCTGCCCTGTGTTGGCTGTGAGAAGCCGGGTGGGAGGGCTGCGAGGCCACAGCCGGCATAGGCGCAGGGGCAGCAGGAGCAACAGGGACGGCATGATGACGGCAGGCGGGCAGCTGGGAAAGGGAGGCCCCCGAGAGGGGTGCATTGGTCCCAGTCGGGCGGGACTTCGAGGGTCGGGGCAGAGGAAGGGAGCCGGTCTCAGTTTCCCACAAAGGCAGACTGAAGCAGGCTCGGGACAGGCACCAGACGTGGGTGCCGCGGCGCTTCCAGCACTGGCCTCCAGATCTGGACCACCGGCTCGGGACTAGGGACACCCTCCCCACCTACAGCGTTAGGGGGGCGTGGAAGGAGGAGCCACAGGCAAGCCCCGCCCCTGTCCCCCACTCACAGGCTCCACAGTCGCCGCCATTTCCTGCGCCCGTACAGGCCCCGCCCCCGATCCCTCATTGGCTCAAGGTTCAGGCCACGCTTATTGGCCAGGAAGGTGAAGATGCGTGGCAAAGGACGTGCCCCCGTGCGCCTATTGGTCTAGGGCGCCAGAGTCCGCGAAGCGGAAGTCTTGGGGTTCCCGAAAGGTACCGGTGTCTATCCCTTGTCCACCCGTCCGGTACCGGATCCAGCTTAAGGCGTCCCGTTCCGCCGCTCAGCAGCGAGGCACGACCCTCGCTTTTCCTGCACCCTGACCCACATTCACCGAACAAGAGGGACACACGAAGGCTGCGCTGTGAGGCTTTTTGTTTAGCTCCTTTTCTGCCACGCGGTCAGCCCCTCTCACCCACCCTGGGTTCTCCCATAGGATCCCAGACTTTCAGAGAAACAGCAGAAGCCAACGGAACTGAAAAATGAAAGTCCTTTATTGTCTTCAGCGCTGTGATAGGGCTGGGACGTTAGGGTGACTCAGGTGCGTCTTCTCCGCACCCGACTGTAGAGGTGGATGGCGATTGTAGAGGAGGATGGCGCCTTTGGCCGAAGGGCAGAGTTGTGCCCACATCTCCGTTTCCTGCAGTCTCTGTACCCTCTGTGAGAAATCAATGAGACCCAGACATCAGGCTTCCCTTTCTCTTGGAGCTGTGTCCGGAGTTGTGGAACCTCAGTACGCCTCTACTGTCCCTGTTCTGGACTTTTCCCTTAGGTAGGAGCTAAGCCCTGTGTCCCTTGGAGATCTCTGTCTCACCCAGGTATCCTCCCCCCTCCCCATCACCAGACCCCTTGAAGGCCTCGGCTCCACACCTGTGTCTCCACAAAGACGATTCCTGTAGATTCGTGGGCCTCAGGTCCCCCATTCATGTAATAACGCCTGACCTCCTCTGAAGTTAGGCTGCATCTGGGCAAGAACATGGGAGTGTCTTGGTTTGTGTCCAGACCTTACAGGAACCCTGAAGAACTCCAGTTTCCTCAAACCCGCTCCTTCCCCACCCTCCTCACCCAGGATCCTGCCCCCCAGAGCACTCACTGGACATAGAACTCCGCACTGGCTCTGCCGGCGCTGGTCTCATTGCAAGCGATGCCCAGTAACAGTGGCCGGCTCAGGGTGTGCAGTGGCAGGTTCACCTGTGGCAGGGAGTCCCCCCTGTCAGGCTGCCCTCTCAATGGCCTGTTTTAGTGTTGGTTTGGTGTTCTGCATATTTGTCTTTGTTGAGACAGGGCCTCATGTAGCCCAGGCTAGCAAAGATGACCCTGAATTTCTGATCCTCTGCCTTCATCTCCTGAGTGCTGGGATTACAGGTATGTGTGTATCACTGTACCTGGATTACATGGTACTGAGGATCAAGCCCCAGGCCTTGTACGTGCTAAGTCAGTGTTTCTCAACCTGTAGGTCGCAGCCCCTGAGGAAGTTGAATCACTTTTTCACATAGGTCACCTAAGACCATTGGTGAACACAGATGTTTATATTATGGTTCCTAACAGTAGCAAAATTACAGTGATGAAGTAGTAATGAAAATAATTTTATGGTTGGGGGTCACCACCACATGAGGAACTGTATTAAGGGTTGCAGTATTAGGAAGGTTGAGAACCACTATGCTAGGCAGTTTACCAGCTCATCTCCAATCCTCAATGGCCCATGACCCTTGGCACTTTTGTTTTGCTAGCCATGTGTCCCATTAAAATACAGGCTCTGGGTATGTTCATTTTACAGATGAGAAATGGGACAAATTGTCCAGGGAAGTCCTTTGTTTGTTTGTTTGTTTGAGATAGGGTTTCTCGGTGTAGCTTTGGAGCCTGTCCTAGAACAGGCTGGTCTCTAACTCAGTAGAGATCCGCCTGCCTCTGCCTCCCAAGTGCTGGGATTAAAGGCGTGCGCCACCACCCAGCCCCAGAGACGTTTTACTCAAGTGAAGTTGAGACTCACATTTTTTCAGCAAATATAAGAACAGACTAGACTAGACATTTTTCTCTGTTTCTACTGTAGGAAAGACTCTGAGGACCAAAGAATCATGGCCACAGCATTAAGACCATGTTCTTTCTCATGCTAGGCTCATGCAGACCCTTACTCCAGCCCAGGCCTGCGAATTTCTAGCAAATTCTACCCCTTCATTCATGCCCATCATATCTGGGGCCCCTGTCACTCACCTCATCACAGATCTCCTGGAGGACACTGGAGAAGAGTTCCCGTACCACCAGTTCCCCAGGGAGGTTCTTGTGCTGAGGGCTACCACCAGGGCACAGGGCCTGTGAAAAATTTAGGCTCAGCCTTCATCTATACCAATTCCTCTTGTCCATGAAGACCTAGGGCAGATTCAGTGTGGGAGTCTTGGCAATCCCCTAACCCAGGCCCTCCTCTATTCCAAATAAGCAGTCAGAAGTCTAGCTAGGAAGGATTACATGGATTGGGTGAGAAGTGACATCTCCTCCCCTTCAGTCTCTCCTCCCATGTTCCCTAGCTTCCATAGGACTGTTTCAGCTTAGATCTATAGCTGGGTGTCCTGAACGGCAGTGAGCACCCTGTCTCCTCTCAGTAGCGGTAAGAGTCATGGGCTATGCTCCTCTAGACCCACAGTTTCTCCTGGACAGCCCTCAAGCAGGGCATGCAGCATGGGAGGCTGCAGGCTACAAAACGCCAGTCCGCTTTTCCCTTTAAGAGAAAATGAAACCAGAACTAGGAGCTTGGACTTTGCACCCTTGTATTCAGTCATTTTACCTGAGGTTCAGGGTGCCCACCAGGCACGTCCACCAGACCAGGTGCCTCGGCCACCTGCTGAGAGCGGCGCAGGAGGACAAGAAAGTCATCAGCTGTGACCAATGCGGCACCCACCCCCAGTGGGTCTGCCAGATAGGCTTGCTTGTCACCCCAATCTGTAGCTCCCTGCTGCCGCAGCCAGGAGGCGGAGCTGGACCAGTTGGTGCCCAGGAAGTCCCGGTAGGAAGTTAGACCCAGCTGCAGGAGCAGCTGTGGTCCAGGTGAGCTGGATGCCAGCTTGGCTGAGTGAAGGCGGAACTTGGGAGCATCAAAGATCCAGGGCTGGGTCTGTAGACGGCTCTCCCAGATGGCAGTAATGGTCTTGTCTCCTCCGGGCAGTGGACGACGATCATGAGCTGGGCTTAGCTCTACCGCTACTTGCTCCTGGGACAGTCCCCCAAGAGGGCAAAGCAGCAGGAGGGACACCTCAGGGTCCATGGTTTGACAGGGACGTTCTGGGGAAAGACACCGATGGTCATCCTGTAACTCTAGGAAACGAGCTGAGCCTCTCTTCCACAGAACTCCTGAGAGTGACCCAACTCTTCTGCAGATACCTGACTTGCTTGGGCAGCGAGTATCCTCCCAGCAATGAGCCTAGCAAGCGCCAACACTCCAGCTGCCCCGAACCCCTAAACCCTTTGGTCATCCCTACCACCCAGCAGCTACAATGCTCATGGCCCCCAAACCAGGACTCCTACATCCAACCTGAATACGCTGAATCTACTCCCAGGGTCTGGAAGCTGGCTCTAGGAATTCACCGGCCGGCTTGGCCCCCAAACTCCACCTCTTTCCCCTCAAGCGGAAGTGCCCGCCCTTCGCGGCTTCCCATTGGCCAGTCCGTGTCATGCGACCCGCCCTCCGCAGCTGAGCGCTTCTGATCCGGCTCACCTTGGCGTCTGTCAGCCCTCGAGTCCCGAGACCCGGACGGCAGATCCCCCATCCGATTCCGGAGAGCGTGGTTCGATCCTGATCCCTCGGGCCATGTGGCTGTCATTGTGACCCTGGGCAAGTCTCATCAGCTGGGCCTCAAATTTCCTTGTATGGACCAGAGGTTCCAGGGTGGGATGAGCAATGTGGTTCTCTCATCCTGAGCCTTTGTGACTTTATGGGCAGAGTGACCACACGTCGGTGTTCTCTACTGGTCTTAGTCATGAACGCCCCTGGAGGAAGGAGGCAGGAAGGTAGAAGGGCCCATAGACCCCGGGAACAGGTGTGCACTTTTCCACCCTCACCACCACGGTAGCTGGACAGGGGAGGGCACCCTCTGAGCCTTGGCTTCTTGGGAAGACTGCAGGACCAATGGTCCCAGAGACCACTGGAGATGTCCTGGTCTACCTTTGTAGTAGAGCTCAGGGCTAGTTACTGAAACCCAGAAATCCACCACGGGACTCTTTCAGGACCGAGATGTGCAGCTGTCTAAGGCTCTATCCTATGTCCTACGCCACGGAGCCTTGAAGCTGGGACTTCCTATGCGAGCTGGTAAGTGAGCACTGTGGAGGATGGGAGGAAAAGCAGGAGCCCAGAGAGCAACTGGACCTCGCCTCCTCAGCTCTTTAACACTGCTGCAGTAGGAACACAGAATACACAGGCTCTCCCAATGTACAGGAGAAACCAGGTCCAGAACCCCTTCCATGGCCTCTGGAAGAGAAGCCCCTGCCTAGGCTGGGCCTCATGATGTGTTTTTCAGCCAAGTGGCCCTATACGGGCAGGGGGGCATACTGAGGCAACTGATGTTTATTGGATGGCCACTCTGGGTCAACTACTTAGTGCTTACTATGTTACTCTGAAGCAGATATTTTTTTTTAGTGTTTTTTTTGTTTTAAATTTTATATGTGTATGAATGTTTTGCCTGTGTGCATGTATGTCTGCACATGCATATCTGGTGCTTGTGGAGGCCAGAAGAGGGCATTGGACCCCCTGGAACTGGAGTTCAGATGGTTGGGAGCTACCGTGTGAGTGCTGGGAATCAGACTTCCTTTGGAAGAACAGCCAGTCCTCTTAAGGACAAGGAGTCATATAACCTATGCTAGCCTCAAAATGCCTTGAATGTCTGATTCTTCTGTCAGTATCTCCCAAGTGCTGGGCTTATAGGCGTGTACCACTATGCCCACCATGAAGCTGATCGCCTTCCTCTGTAAGTTAAGAAAACAGAGACTTCGGAGAGAAGAAGTGTGTCTCCTTAGCAGAGTGCTTGCCTAGTAGGTGCAAGGCTCTGTTTCACCCCAACACCGAAAAAACAAAATGAGGCCCAAAAAGGGAAGCCTTCCTGCAGATCACACAATGGGAGGTCATGTGACCTCCCAGGCCTAGCCTTTGCTCCAGCTGCCTGTGGCTCCCCTGTTAACCACAGCCCTGGCTCCTGAGCACACCCCCACCCTGCAGATGGCTTTGTACCCCTGCGATCCCTTCTGCAGCTACCCCAGTTCCACAGCTTCTCAATTGAGGATGTGCAGCGTGTGGTGGATACCAATGGAAAGCAGCGGTTTGCCCTCCAGCCAGGCGAGCCCAGCACTGGCCCTCTCATCAGGGCCAATCAGGGCCACTCCCTACAAGTGGGTGCCAAGGGGCAAGTGGGAGGGAGAGCCAGGTGGGACCCCAGTTGATGAAGTTCTCACTGATGTCCATTCTCACACTCATTCCCAGGTACCTGAGTTGGAGCTGATGCCTCTGGAGACACCACAAGCCCTGCCTTTGATGCTAGTCCACGGCACATTCTGGAAGCATTGGCCATCTATTCTACTGAAGGGCTTGTCATGCCAAGGAAGGGCGCACATCCACTTGGCCTCAGGATTGCCTGGGGACCCTGGTGTCATCAGTGGTCAGTGTCACCTTCACCAATCTATCCTCCCAGGTCCCCCACCAAAGGTCACAACTTCCTTTGTGTGAGACCACCACCCAGACTTGCATGGAGCAGTAGATCCCTACCCCACCCCAGAGCCCCATTCTGCCCAAATGCCCCAGGCTCCAGTCTAGATGTCCCTGCAGGCATGCGCCCAAATTGTGATGTGGCGGTGTTCATCGATGGACCCCTGGCCCTGGCAGGTGAGTGTGGGCTCTGCTGCAACTCTCCCAGATCTGTCAGAGAGGGGCACCGGTCACATCCCTAGCTCTGTGAGCAGATGGAATCCCCTTCTTCCGCTCTGCCAACGGCGTGATACTGACTCCAGGGGATGCTGAAGGCTTCCTGCTTCCCAAGTACTTCAAGGAGGCCCTGCAGCTGCGGCCTACCCGTGAGTGCCAGACTGCTGCCTACCCTGGGTCCTGAAGCCTGTGCCCTTCTGCCCTCCCATACGCTGATTTAGGTGTTCCTTTCTTAGCAACTGTTGTGTCTACCTCAGGAAAGCCTCTCCCCTTGGCTGGTGATAAAGAAACAGAGCATCAGAGTGGCCCCAAGCACAGCTCCAGAGGAGGAGGAAGAAAGATCCAACAATAAAATATTTATTTATTAGAAAACAAAACAAAACGACTCTGAAAACAGTCACAGAAAGAAAGTCCAGTTTGAAAGAAGGATTCCTTGTTCCTTATCCATAGCTGGACCTCCTCACGTGCTTCGGGACTACATATAGGTAGGAGTGTGAGCTCCTGCCAACAGGGCAAGAGGAGGGGCACTGTGTGGCTCAGAGCCAACCATCCCTAGGCTGGGTGGTGGCAGTGTCTACCCCAGCCAAGGGCCTTGGCCTGCTGGCAACAGCAGGTGAAGATGCCCAGCATGGTGCGTGTGTGGAGTGGTGGAGCAGTGAGTTCAGGTGCATGCGGGCTTGTGAGGGTCCCTGGAGGCACTAAGTGGAGCAGGGGCAGCCTGGCTGCCCTCAGAAGGCCTCATGGCCACCCGTAAGCTGCAGGAATAGGTCCTCGTCCAGCTCCTCCCCGCGAGCCCGCTCTCGAGTAGACAGGAAAATGTAGCCCCCGATGTACTCGTGCACGATACGGCAGCTGGCAGACACACAGCTAAAGGCCACGTTGATGTGCTCGTCAAACTCAATGGCCACCTGTGGGCGGGTGGTCACAGGTCCAGTGGGCAGGGGCAGCAAGCGGCAGCTTCTGCTCTGCCCTAGTTGGGTCTGCACTAGCCACCTGGCCCTGGCCCTGCCCTCCCTTGTGGCCTACCTGCCGAATGTCCCAGTTGACATTCCACTGACGCATGTTGCTGAAGCGCCAAGTCTTGACCACATCGCCCACAGCCAGGTCAATACGGATCAGTCGGTTGTTGGCAATGCCCAAGATCTCATCTTTCCTGCTGCCCTTGAACCTTATTCCCAGGGTGGAGAAATATGAGTGACAGATACACCGTGTCTGGCCCTGGAGCCTACCCTGTGTGTATACTGCCCCAGAGCCCTCAGTGTAGCGTGCAGCCTCACCCACCCCAGTTTCTCCTAGCCTTAAGCTCCTACTCTGGAAAATGGGATTATTCAAGGACTCAGGTTAGCCAGGCGTGGTGCAGCATGTCTGCCATCCCAGCTAGGGGGCTGAGGCAGGAATTCAATTAAGATTGGCATGTGGTGAATGAAAAACTGTGTGTGTGTGTGTGTGTGTGTGTGTGCACATGCACGCACATGTGTGGGTAGGGGATAAGGGAGGTGGGGGGGTGCTGAGAAGATGCTTCAGTCAGTAAAATACCTGCCTTGCAAGTATGAAGACCTGAGGTTGGTCCCCAGGACTGGTAGTGCATGCTTGTGGTCCCTCGGACAACACAGACAGGCTGGGAGAGGTTGCTCAGTGGATAAAGCTCTTGCCACACATTCGTGAGAACACAGACCCCTTGTAAATCTAACGCTTCTGCAGTGTGCCTACAGCAAGTTAGGCAGAGGTGGGAAAGTCTCTGGACAGTCTGAGACCAACTAGCCTGGAACACACAGTGATGAGTAAGACCTCTTGTCTCAGCAAGGTGGACAGTAAAGATGGACCAAGAGGCTATTTTCTGAGCCCTGTGTAATGGCCACAGCATGTGTACAGACACAGAGATTTAAATGAAAACATTAAGAAAAAATAGGGGTATCAGGCTTGTGTGACTACCGTTTTTACACATTAAACCATTCCTAAACCCACATTTATTTATTTAAGAGTGTCACTTTGGCTGGGTGGTGGTGGCACACGCCTTTAATCTTTTAGTTCAAAGCTACAGAGAAACCCTATCTCAAAAAACCAAAAAAGAAAAAAATAGGGCCAGCAAGTGGGTTCGGCCCCCTTGAAGCCTGATGACCTGAGTTTATCCCCAGGACCCACACAGTGGAAGGAGAGAACCAGGTTCCTGTAAACTGTTCTCTGACCTCCACATGTATACATGCACAAAATAAATAAGTTGAAAATGTAAGATAGAGGGGCTGGAGAGATGGCTCAGCGGCTAACACTTGCAGCACTTGCAGAAAACCCAGGTTTGGTTCCCAGTACCCACATCTGGTGCCTCTTCTGGCCTCTGTGGGCACTGAGCACTGTATGCAGTACATGTATACATATACATATTCATACATGAAAAACTAAATCTTTTTTTTTTTTTCTTTTTCCATGTGATACTGGCTATCCTGGAACTCACTCTGTAGACCAGGCTGGCCTAGAACTCACAGAGATCTGCCTTTACCACCTGAGTGCTGAGATTAAAGGCTTACTGACCTGGAAAAAATACTTAAATCTTTAAAAATGTAAAGTACTCAGGAAGCAGAGGCAGGTGGATCTCCGTGAGTTTGAGGTCAGCCTCATTTACAGAGCAAGTTCCAGGACAGCCAGGGCTACACAAGGAAACCCTGCCTTGAAAACACCCACCACCTCCGCAAAAAAGTAAAAATAAACAAGATAAGCAGCGCCTGAGGAACGTCTGAGGTCACCCCCACATACACCAAGGTGCGGGCATCATAATATCATTTGGCAACATTAGGAGTAGTTCATGCCTCTAAGTAATGATCTCGTTTCTTGTTTTGTTTTGTTTTCGAGACAGGGTTTCTCTGTAGCTTTGGAGCCTGTCCTGGAACTAGCTCTTGTAGACCAGGCTGGCCTAGAACTCACAGAGATCTGCCTGCCTTTACCGCCTGAGTGCTGGGATTAAAGGCATGCGCCACCACTTCCAAGTAATGATCTTGTAAGTATCATCATCAACCACATATCATTCATCTCTCTGCAGACTTGGGAATGAGTTCTCAGGGTTCCCCCTGTAACACCAGGGACAGCTGGCTGAGTTCTCAGGGTTCCCCCTATAATGCCAGGGACAGCTGGCCAAGGCCCAGAGAGGGAAACATCTGTCACAGCTGGGATATGCACTGGGTCTTCCGCTTATCTGGCACGAGTTCTGTCTCTTGGATATCTGTGACGGTGCACACCGGGGAATACACAGAACCCCAGGGAGAGGTACCACAGAGAACAGGGAGAAAGCGACATGGTTGTGTGCCTGGGACTCATGTGGGATGTAAGCACAGAACAGCTGGTAGCAAGTGAGGGCAGAGACAGTGCTTTGCAGGGCTGGAATCCTACCTGACCATCACATAGGAGATGCCGAAGTCGGGCAGCGATTGCCAGGCCTGGATGAAGCGCAGCTGGGCCTCAATCAGTGAGAGCTGGGCCACATTTTGGTGAGCTTCCAGGATCCGTGGGGTGAGCTGAGGGGCCATAATGGTAAGGGATTCTTAGGGCCTCCTCTTATCTAAAGTCCCTAGGATTCCCCCCACCTCCCTGCCTGCTCCATTGAGGGCACAGCACACTGAACATGGAACAGGGGAAGGCAGCCATTGTGGTACCAAGGCACATGTGACTGAATCAGGCCCTACAATAGACCTGGAACACTTCCATAGAGGTGTCTGGGACACAGCAAAAGGAAGAAGTGAGCACAGGGGTTCCCTAGGGAAGAGGGTTCTGTTGGAAGTCCAGGGATCAAGGGTGACTAGATAAACACCGTGGTGGTTCCCACACACCCACCCCCACTTCCTCTGGTACCTGCTTGGCCTTGAACTTTCGCTGGAAACGGGGAGCCACCAGGCCATAGGGGTTAAGGCCCTCGGCAGAGGCTTCAGGGCCCTGGGGGGTCCCTGAGCCTCCGCTGCCACCACCCGTCCGCTGCAGGCTAAGGAAGGCCAGAATGGCTTGCACCTCACTGGCATAGCTGCTGTCTGCCATAGTACGGCCCTTGGAGGCCAGTCGGCAGGCAGCCATCCACTGCGCATACTGCTGTTCCTGAAGCGGACAGAGAGGGTGGTAAGTAAGCTCTGGCCACACTCTTACCCTGAATGCCAATGCAGCCCGCCCTGCCCCTTGCTCCTCCCACTCCTGTCCCCCTTTGGTCCAGTCTGCTCACATCCTGGCAGCGCAGGTAGATCTCACTCATGCCCTCCGGTGAGGGCACCAGGAGTTTGATACAGAACTTCTGGCCAGAGACATTGACATCAGGGACCACCTCACAGCCTGCAAGGAGAAGGAGGTGGCTAAGAGGTCCCCGTAAGAAAGCCAGCCCCACCACCCACAGCTGCCTCAGGGCGGATGGTATCCTCGGCCCCTAGGAGGAAAGGGCTGAGAGCTTTGCTGCCAGTGTTCCCTCACCCTTGAGATTCAGCTGCTGGATAGGGTCCCCGGGTGATTCGTCCTGGCTCTTGTAGTAGGAGAGGGTGGTGTCCTTGAAAACCACCCAGTGCTGGCGGTAGCCCTTCAGGGTCAGCTTCCGGGGCCTGGAGGGAGTAGGAAATTGTGAACCATGGCCTCCCTGCCTTCCCTTTCCTCCCCTCTCTCCCCACACTTAACCTGAAGATTCGGAGGTGGTCCTTGAGTTCCGGGATGGTGGTGAGGCTATCCTAGGGAAGAGAGAAGTAAGAGGGAACCTTGGGTCCCCTACCTGGCCTTGGCCCTGACCCCAGCCCCATTCCCAGCCCAAACCCCTCCTCACCAGCATGTCTGAGGGTGCCGACCCCTTCAGCTTCACCTCCAGGTTGTTCAGGGCTGTATCCAGGTCATCCAACCCCAGGTCCCCAGAGGCCGGCTCCCCCACATCCCCACTCAGGGACAATTTGTTGATGTGGTACTAGGGACATAGAGTCAGTTAGAGCTGAGTCTGAGGCCCATCTGCCCCCAATGCTGGTCTTCACTGGAGATGGACTCCCTTCTGGAAGGCCTTTTACCCTGTAGCCCAGCACCCTGGGGTCCCAGGCACCTGCAGGGCAGCAAACACCATCATCTCCTCTTCAGTGCAGTCAATCTCCTCTGTTAGCAAGTCCCAACGGGCTTGTTCATACAGCTGGGTCAGCCGGACCGGGTCTGTCTGGAGCAGCGGGAAGTTAGGGGGCTCAGCTAGTCAGATGGCGCCTGTCCTGGATACTCAGGCTCGGCTCAGCATGGACAGCAAGTCCCCAGCTCTACCCTGCTGGCCTGCACACTCTAGGCAGGCGGTGCAGCTTTCTCCATAAACCTCTGCCCTACTGAGCCCCATGCTATAGGCTAGCCTCCTGCTGAGGCAAGCAAGGAGGAAGACAGCCCCAGAACAGAAGGAAGATAGCATCCCCTGGG